ATGTATATAAAGTGTCTGGCTAGTTGCCTGGCAACTGGAGAAAATGCAGTTATCATTTTCCAGCTTCCTCAGATTTGCAGGGCTGCCTCTTGCTCCCTACCTCAAGCACTCAAGCCCCAAACCTCTCTGGCCAAATACAAATATCCTGCAATTATTCTCAAGGCTTGATGATACACTGATGACCTGCCTCAAGCTTCATTTCAGTCAAATTGCTCTCTCAGAAGCACTCCTTCCTACTGTTTGGCCAGACTCCCAGCCTTGTGACCAAATTGCTCTCCAGTCAAGGCCCATCACCTTTTCCTTCCCACCACTCTTCCTTCAAATTGCACCCACTGACCAGCCATGCTTCCCCCAAACTTATGGCCTGAGCTGTAGAACTACACCTCTTATGGAGGCTCTGAAAATCATTCAATCCAAAGCATCTTTTATGTAACACTGGAAATGCTCCAGACAGGACACACAGTTGCACTGTTTCCACTGGGCTGCTACTTACTTTGTGTGATATTTTTCAAAGTCAGATTGCATTGTGGCCCTTCCTACCATTAATTCCCAGGACTGAAAGGAGTTGTTACAATCCCTTCTTTTTCATAATGACTGTTACAACTTCCCTTCTTCTGTTACAACCTCTTTAGTATGCCCCTTTCGCCTACCTCCTTCTGATCAGCCTAAACATTTTCCTATTTCTGAACATGCTCTGCCCCTTTGAGCTGGATCAGCCTTTTCACTTTACTGTTCCTTCTGTGTGGAATGCCCTTCACCATTTTTTATTTTAAAAATTTATTCAGTTATTTCAGCTGCGCTGGATCTTTGTTGTAGCATGCAGGCTTAGTTGCCATGTGGCGTGTGGGATCTTAATTCCCCAACCAGAGATTGAACCTGTGTCCCCTGCATTGGAATGAAGATTCTTAGCCACTGGACCACCAGGGAAGTCCCCTGCTCATTACTGTTTTTAGCTAGCAAATTTTCCCATCCTCTGTACTCCAGCTCAGGATCACCTGTGTAGGAAGCCTTTCCTTCTCTTTCAAGTTATCAATTTCTTCCCTGTGGTCCTACATTGCTTGGTACCTACCTCTCCCTCACTCCACTCTGAGCTCTTAGAAGAACAGGAACTGTGTCTTATTCATCTTTGTACCCCTAGTACCCAGTCTAATACCTGGCTTGTGGTAGGCCTTGACAAGTATTTGTTAAATAAGTGAATGACTGAATGGCTTTGCACTCATCTTCAGGTCATCTTTGTATATGATAACAGCCTACTGGGAGTCTCTTTGGAGCCCAGAGCCCAGCACTGGGAAACTCTGGAGTCTCCACTTGTGAGTCAGCATAGGTCTACTGACACTGTGCTTATTTAATGGGCGACTCTCTTCCAACGTGACATTTCCAGAGTATGAAATTATGTTGTTTGGCATGTTACTGTACTGTGCATTGGAATTAGTCCAGCTTCCATGGGACAGTGTAGGGTATGGCCCAGCACCTTAACTAATAACTGCTGTCATGTACCCACTGAGGAGCACCATCCTTTATTCCTCCTTCTGCTTTAACACACCAAAGCATATTACAGATTGGTATTTGTCAGCCTGGCAGGCTACTAAGGGTGAAGGTTACATCTGCCACTTGCTGTTCACCTTGCCTTGCCTCTGGAACCAAGCGCCTGCAGAGTGCTCAGCAAACAGTGCTGCCTCACTTACTTTCAACATGTGCTTAGGTTTCTTGTAGCTACCTGGTTGTCACATGTACCTGGCCTGAGTGAGCTGGGTGCCATGGAAATGCACCTGCTGGTAACAGCCTCACTTGGAGGCGTGATGAAATTGCCCAGAAGAGATATATATGCTTGAGTCTCAACTCTGTCATGACTTAGAGGACTAAATGGTGGTGATTAAGAACATCTGAGTTCTAAATTTGACTTTAATGCAGTGTGTCTTAGCTGACATTGGAAGTTATATAATTTTTTTCTTTAGTTTCTCTACTTGTAAGATACAGACAATGATAGACCCTCCTTGTAAGCTGTGGGAATTTAATGAGGTGATGTTTTTAAAGTGTTTAGTACAGACTTAAGCAAAAAAGAGACTTGGTAAATCAGGACTTCTGCTTATTATCATTATTTGACATGTTGACCTTTTGCAAATATGGAGTTTTAATGCCACAGTGGCCAGCTGGTCAGTATTCTAAGCTGGTCTTTGAAGTCAAGTGTCAAGAGAAGGGCAAGGCTTTATGACACCAAGCCTCTCTCTTCTATCGTGACACTGACATTATAAATCCCATTTTCTGTGCAACATCCAAACTTCATAAGCCAGTTCTTAATATTTCTTTGGGTTCTAGAACTTGTTAAGCCCATGAAGCCACTTCTTAAAACATTAAAGCTGGTCTAGGCCTCTGAGATCATCTCATCCAACCCACTTATTTTACAGACTGCCAAGGTTACTGAGATCTGAAGAGAGGATAAACCGTGCCTGGTGTCACAGTTGGAGGTGGCAGAGCTGGAGCCAGAACCAGGCTTCCAGATGTGACAGCTCTTCTCCTTCCAGTACACTCCGCCGCCCCTCCTAGAGCTGTGTTCTCAGGGCAGAGACTCAAGCCATGCTTTCCCTTGATATTAAGAGCTCCCAAGCCCACTTTCCCCAAGGAGCCAGCGATTTCCTTCTCTTGGTGGGCAGACACATATCCAAGTCACTTGACAGAGACAGCTCTTTATGGGGACAGTCCAATGTTGGGACAGGATACAGCATGCAGGACACGTGACCAGGAACCCCACATCAATCATTAACAAAGCTTCACTCTTACCCTTACTCATTTAATAAACCCACCTGTACTTAAACCTTAGGGGACACTACATTATAAAGAGAATTGAGATTGGACCTTTTCCACTGTTTTGCTCTGGTTCTCATTTTACAGATAAAGAAACAGGCTCTTAGAGGTTAGGGGACAGGCTGAAGCTCATATAGCTGTCAGAGCTTCAATTTCAATCCAGGTCTCTGACTGCAGCGAAGTGATTATGGTTAGATCTGTGAAATGGAAACTGCAGCATGTGTAGCATATGTTGCTATGAGGATCAGATGAGTTCGTGAAGGTGAAAGTGTCAACAGAAGAGTCACCTGAGGGAAGGAATCTTGGCATCACCAATGCCTGGCACATTATTGGTAATCAATATATTGGGTTGACCAAAAAGTTCATTTGGGTTTTTCTGTAAGATGTCACAAAAAAATCCAAACAAACTTTTTGGCCAACCCAATACTTATAAGGAGAAGGCAATGGCACCCCACTCTAGTACTCTTGCCTGGAAAATCCCATGGATGGAAAAGCCTGGTAGGCTGTAGTCCATGGGGTCGCTAAGAGTCGGGCACAACTGAGCGACTTCACTTTCACTTTTCACTTTCATGCATTGAAGGAGGAAATGGCAACCCACTCCAGTATTCTTGCCTGAAGAATCCCAGGGGCGGGGAAGCCTGGTGGGCTGCCATCTATGGGGTTGCACAGAGTCGGACACAACTGCAGTGACTTAGTAGCAGCAGCAGCAATACTTATCAATCTATAAATTTATAAATGAATGAATGAAGAAAGTAATGAGTCACCTAGCAGAAGTGCCTGGAATACAGAGGTATGCCATGCATGCTCCATTTCCCTCACTTGTTCTGGAAGGTGGCAGGCTCTGTGGCCACCAAACCTGTGGGCTCTGTGCCTGGCACCTGGTAGGGCTTGATGAGTGTGTGCAGGTGGGATGAGTGACTCTCAGGAATGCTAAGCCTTTGAGGACGTGGAGAAACGCATGTCTTCTCATCACAAGCAGAGGCTAGTGCTCCGAGCTGCAGGGAGTAAAGTGCTACCTTGGCCAGGGCTGCCTTCCACTGCAGGGTAAGGGCCACCCACCTTCCAAGCCGACCCTGGCCAAGCTGTTACCCAGATTCAGCGTCAGGGCCAGCAACATGCATCCATGGGAGCCTCGGCAGACCCAGCTACAGAGCAGCTGGGGGTGGAACGTGGCCACCAGTGAGTGGAGAATATGCTCCACTCGCCAGGCTCAACTTTGTGCCATTCCTCCATCCTACCTTTTTGTCTTTTTGGGGTTTCAATTTTCAGTCCCCTCTGTCTGGCGAGTAAATAAATGAGTGCCTAGAAGAGTACCTGGCATACAGCAGGTATTCAATAAATACTGGTGGAATGAGTAAATGAAAACAGGACTGAAGGAAGAGACAGACTGACTGATGCGTGTCTATTTATTGGCACAGGGTCCTCCGGGGCCAAGACCACTCCCTCCCCACCCCCTTTCCTGTAAAAATAGACTCTATCCTTCACTCTTCCTACTCTATCTGCTTTCCTGCTTGGTCCAGGGAGAATCAGTCACCCCCTAAGACTTGTAACCCCAAGATACAGGGACTAGCATCCCTGACATGTACACACATCCCCGCTGAGCCCAGGGACCCTGGGAGGCAGCAGGAAGGTTTGTAAAGGCTGTTGGGCTTCCACTAAGAGCTGGGCACGGGGGGTCCATCAGAGAGGGCTGGCAGCAGTATTAGGAGCAGTAGCACGAGGAACATGGAATAAGTGTCGTCCCTAGGGGTGGGGCTGAAAGGAGCTCCGTCTATGCCCAAGGCAGCAGTGAGTGAGCCTTGGGGAGATGTGTGGGAGGCACTCCTGCCAGGCCCTGAGTGGTCAGCAGGCACAACAGGCTCTGTGGCCACCAAACCCACTGAGCTTGGGACCTAAAGAGGTGGACCCCTTCTTGTGGGAGCTGGTGCCCCCTGCCCAGGCCTCCTCCAGGCAGGGTGACACAGAAGAACATCACAGTGAATGGTGGGGACTCTGCTGGAGGCAGGGGTACCCCCAAAGCAGAGGCACAATGTGATGGCCGAGGAGGGACAAGGACTCATGTCACACCTGTAGTGTGGAGGGGCAGGACACAGCCCAGCTGGTATGTGCCTTCCCTCAACCCCAGAGCAGACAGCTTGGCTGGACAAGCTACCCCAGGCTCCAGCAACCGAGCTGGCCATTTCTCCCCCAACCCAGGTCTACCACACCTCACAAAGCTGCCCTGAGTTCATGGGGGAGCCGACAGGGCAGCCGAAGTGCCGCAGGAAGTCACGGGAGTTGGAGAGAGTGCCCAGCACGCGGAAGCGGGCAGGGCTGTGGGGGTCGGTCACCAGCCCCTCGTGAGAGCTCTCGGGTGTGCGGACCGAGCACCACACCTGCAGGCCAGGACAGACACGGGGACACAGAGTGTCTAGTGTGGGCGAGGCCCCTGCCCCAGCTGCAGCAAGCCATCCCAGGGACACATGGCACCACCACCCCAGCCCCTTGGCTCAGGAGGCCTTGGGGACACAGGAGAGGGCTTAGCCAGCATCTCAGCACCAAGGGAGGAGAAGGCGCCAGCCCTCTGAAATTCCTCGAAGGCCTTTCAAAGCTGCCTGGATACAGAGCTGCCAAGGATGGACGTGTCTGAGGGGAAGAAGTCCAGCCCCAGAGACTGCCTGCCATAGTGCAAAGTACCTGGAGACCTTGCTGAGTCTGCCACTTACTGTCTTCCTGGGTACCCCTGGACGAGCCACTCTGTCCCCGAGCTTCCTCCTCCACAGCCACCTCACAGGAGCATCATGAAGATCAATCCTGCTCCCTATCCCCTGCCCTTCAAGATCTGCAAAAGCCTTCTCCCTCCTCCGGCCTCCTCATGTGCTTTTGTGGGCCCCCCAGGAGGCTGACCATGAGGTCCTCCCAGATCACTTTCCACACTCCCACTTCAACCCCATTTCCCAGTCCCTTTTCCTGCATGCCCCAGACTTCTAATGACATGCCTGGGAGGTAGCGGGAGAAGGGCAGACCCCCGGCCTCGCAGAAGGACAGTACCTGGGCAAATCCCACAAAGAAGAGCTGCTGGTTGGTGAGTCCCACAGCTGGCAGCTGCTGCTCCTCCCCATGCTTTCTTAGCCATGCTTTGTAAGCCTGGGGTTGGGAACAGGGGTGGCAAGTGTGTTGGGGCCTGCCCTGCCCCCACGCCCGGAACAGGTGAGCCTCAGCCCTCAGAGGGCCACTCACATTGTAGGCAGCCTTAAGCCCCCCATTGTCAGCAATGTTCTCCCCCAGTGTCTGGCGCCCGTTGAGCTTCTCCCCGTTGACCTGGTACTGGCTGTACTGCTCCTCTATGCAGGCCGTGTGGTTCCGGAAGGCTGCCAATGACTCATTCTGCCACCACGGCCGCAGGTTTCCTTCCTTGTCATACTCGCGCCCTGAGGAGAACTAACCTTTGCATCCTACTGAGACCAGAATTCAACCCTTGGGGGCACCAGCGCCCCCATGGGCTCTCATCCACAGACCCCTCCCCACACACACACCCCCCACCAGCCAGGATCCATGGGCCTGCTCTCAACATCCCAAGGTTTTACAGGAGCCATGAGCAATTCTAGGCTGGAGGACACAACTGCGTGACCTCTACCTTGGTCATCAAAGGCATGTGTCAACTCGTGGCCCATCACCACGCCGATGCCACCAAAGTTCAGGGCCCTGGGAGGTGAGGAATGTTGAGTGAGGACATGGTGGAGGGACACCTCGATCTCACCTTCCAGCCCTGCTCCCAGCTCACCCGCAGGCCCAGGCCCCAGCACCCAGTCCCTCCTGCCTCAGACACACTTGGGGTGGTTGCAAGCGTAGAAGGGGGCCTGCAGGATGCCAGCAGGGAAGACGATTTCATTCTTGGTTGGAAGGTAGTAGGCGTTCACTGTCTGCGGGGTCATGCTCCACCTGGGGGAGGGAGAAGCTAAGACAGAGCCTGACTCTTCTGATGTCCGGTAGCCTGACCTACATCCTACCAGAACCTGGTGCCTCATTTGGGACCCATCTTGCCATCCTCTTCTGTCTGCTCTGAAAACTCCCCACCTCTCCACTGCCCCAAGTGTTGGCAGCCCCCATTCTTACTGGTCTCGGCTAGGAGGCTTGCGAAGCTGGTCAGCCATCACCTTAGCAGAGAAGTTGTACAAATTCAACATGTTCTGGAAGAAGGAATCTTCAGACACTTCATACTGTGGGAATGGTAAGAAGTAGACAACAAACAAGAGGACACATTAGAGAAGGTAATAGTCCCAGTTTGGCTATTAGTTTGCACCTTTCTGAGCCTCAGTTTCTTCAGCTGTAAAATGAGTGTAAAATAGCTAACAAATAATAACTTGTCAATATTATTTTGCAGGTATTTTATCTTTTTACATATTGTCTCCTTTGATTATCACAACAATCTTATCAGGTAGGTGCTAACAGGACCCTCTTTTACAGATGAAGAAACTGAGGCCCAGAAGGTTATATAACTTGTCCAAGGTTACAGTTGGGTAGAAACAGCTTTGACTGCAAAACTCTATTTGTAAACACTGCATTCTGCTGCTGTCCAGCCTGCAGCCTGGCACAGAGCCAGCATTGCCTCTGAAAGGAACCAACAAGCACCTCTTGCCGTTGCAGTGCTTGAGACCTACGCCCCACCCCACCCGCACAGAGCTAAGGTTCAGTACTCATAGGCAGGTACTCACCCCATCATAAACATCATCCAGCTCTTTGGGCTCCAGGATGAAGTCCGGGAAACCAATCATGTCATAGATGGCATCTGCCTGAAGAGACCAGGTTAAGGATTTCCCTCCCCGGGCGCCCCCCCAAAACTGTATTCTCCATTCTCACCTCAAGATGGCGCCCCAACCCTGGCCACTGCTCACTTTCTCCTTGGCTGCCTGGCGGGTCTTCTCATCCATCCAAACCAACTGTCCCAGAGCCTCCTCAAAGGCCGTCCGGATCTCGCTGATCATCCCCTCTGCCTGGGAGGCAGGGTACACAAGTCAGCCTCCCACACGCATTAATGCATCCTTTGTCCCTGTCCACCCTAGTGCCCCATCCCTGTCCTTCCAGACTCTTGAAATAAGGCTGAGCATCCAGAGAGGATGAGAAAGAAACATGATTTGTGAAAGCACTGGGACTGTGATGGTTTTTTCCCTCATGAATCAAAAAAACTGACAAGTTAACCGAATTAACATTATAATTTAATATAGTGCTTTGATTTTTCTCTGATTATGAAAGGCAGGCATTAATAGCAAAAAACTGGAAAACTGAGAGGAGTCGAAGAAAATAGATCATTTAAAAACCCTATCCCTCAGGGACTTCCCTGGCAGCCTAAGAGGTTAAGACTCTGCACTTCCAATGCAGACGGCACGGTTTTGATCCATGGACATCCTGCGTGACATGGCACGGCCAAAAAAACAAAATCTTATCTCTCAGAGATAACTCCTTCTAACATTTTGATTACCTATTTCTACTGTCTTTCCTTGATGGGATATTCATTTATAATATAGAATTATGTCGTGCAACACACACATATATAAAATAACCTTTTTTTTCACTTAATAATCATCAGTTTAATGCTGCCTTATAATCCATCCTAGTCACAATTTGTTTTTCCTGTCCTCTATATTGGACATTTAAGCTGTTGTCATTTTTGCCTATTATAAACAACATTGCCACTTACATCTTTGTAGGTAATAAAAAACAAATCATGTTTCTTTTTCACCCTCTCTGGATGCTCAGCCTTATTTCAAGAGTCTGGAAGAACAGGGATGGGGCACTAGGGTGGACAAGGACAAAGGATGCATTTTTGCCTACTGTAAATAACACTGCCACTTACTTCCTTGTAGGTAATATTTGAAGCACAAACATTATCATCTTATAAATAAATATTATTTTTCTAATTATATAGGTAACATAACTCACTGTAGAAAACTTGGAAAATACAGAAAACTTATAAAAGAAAAAAAAAAATCCCTCATAACCCCAACCACCGAAAGTAATCACCATAAATTTCATCCCAGTATTTTCCCTCTTGTTGTTGTTTAGTCCTGAAGTCGTGTCCAACTCTTTGTTATCTCATGGAAACCCACCAGGCTCCTCTGTCCATGGGATTTCTCAGGCAAGAATAATGGAGTAGATTGCTACTTCCTTCTCCAGGGGATCTTTCCGACCCAGGGATCAAACCTGCATCTCCTGTATTGGCAGGTGGATTCTTTATCACTGGGCCACCTGGGAAGCCTTTTTTCCCTTTATGTACATACAAATAGAGGCAGTGAATTTTAACTAAAATGAAGGGTAGTGTTGGAAGGACCTTGAAGACTCACAATTTCCTTGCTCTGCCGGTCAAATGTGGCCTTCACAAAGAGGGAACCCAGAGCAAAGCCAAGAGCGTCATCGGTGTTCGAGATGCAGGTCTGCCACCTCGGTGTGCAGGACTGGAAGGGGAAAGAGCAGGTCCCCTACAGAGATGGCTCGGCCCTCCAGTCTGAGGGTCCTTCTCTGTCTCTGGGGCCAGCCCCTCTCAGCTCCGCATATCAGAGCCCTGGGTTTGGGATGCCATCTCTCCCTCAGACTCCAGGGAAGATGAAGAGCAATACTGCAAAGCATGCCAACCCTAGCAGTGAAACCTCAGGAGGCACATATACGCTGGCCACTCTGTTCTTAGCACTCTCCTCCTCTTAGTTTCTCAGAGGCCCACTGGGGTCCAGATGTTTCCTACTCAGCTGTACATCTCAGTCTTACATCCAGTCAGTCCCACATGCCAGAAACGTGGGAGTCACCAGCTTCCTCCATCTCCCTACCTCCACATTCTGTCTATCACCAGATTCTAACTCTGCTTCTTAATCATCTCCTCCATCCACCCTTTGCCACTTCCCTGCCCTATAACACTATCATCTCTTGTCTGAAGATTTCAGTGGCCTCCTAACTAAACACTCCAACTCCATTCTCATCCCCCTCCCCTGTCACTCCCCACCATCTGTCTTCCACTTAGCTGCAGAAAGATGACCTAATATATAAATCCAACCAATTACACCCTTGCTTAAAACTGCCCCAGGTTCTCCATCCCTGAAAGAAGTCAGGCCAGGCTTCCTAGGCACAGCATTCAGGTCCCTCTATGGATCACCCCAGGTCAGCCTCACCACCCTCAGCCTCTCGGGTGCCCTCTCCTCAAAGTTATGCCAGAACACAGGCAACACCACCACACTCCTCCTGGCCTCTGGAAATCTGCACATCCTACTCCTTCAGTCTGGAATGCCCTTCTCCCTTCCATTACTCCATCCCCCAGGTAAAATGTGCTACCCCACCTCTGTCCTACAGCACAAAGAAGGTCTTTCATTCAGCGTGCACACCCCAGAATATAATGTTTGTTTACATATCTCCTTCCCCCACTTAACAGGGCTTCTTGAAACTGAGAACAGCACTTATTCATTTTCTTCTTCACTCTCATTATCAAGGTTGAGTGCCTACACATAGCGTGTACTGGTAAGTACTTCACTTATGTGAATTCAGTCTTCATAACAACCCCACAAGAAATTTCTGTTTTTCCAACCCAGAAATGAAGAGTCAAAATGGTGGTAGACATATGCTCAAGGTCCCATAGGCCAAAAAACGGAGGAGTTCAGACTGGAACCTAAGTTAGCTTGATTCTCAATCGTGTGCTCCACGTGTAAATTAAATGGTGTCTGACACACAGGGGGTGTGAAGCATCAGCCTGACTGGATTGGGAGGTGGGAGCAGAGTTAGAAAACCCACCTTCTTGGTGCCATAGAGGGTCTCCAGCAGCTTCTCTTGTGCAGACTCAAAGCGGTGGTCTAGGCTTGAAGTTGTCTTCTGTACCAGGTTCCAGATCAGATAATTGTTCAGGACACTGGTATGCAAGTGACCAGAACATAAGATAAAGACAGGAACCATTTCCACCCCCCAAACCAGCTCTACCAACATGCAGATAACAGGAATCCCTTAGAGTCATTCATGGGTGTTCTCCCAGGATCCCTCTCTCTGATCCTGGGAACACACACCTGCCTGTAAAAGTCAGGGTGAAGCAAGCTATGGGAACAGAGACCACAGTGGGCCCCCTGAAGCCCCAGCCTATGAGAATAGCCTGCACAGAGCCCTGAACCCCACCCCTGACACTGTGGGCTCCCCCAAACCTTGGCTCTGTGCGGTTGATGAGTTCCGACACCTGCTGCAAATAATCCGTCCCATACACCACCACAGGCTCAGAATCACCCAGCTCCAGCGGTGACAGCAAGAAGGACAGAAACTCCAGCCAGTCCATGGAGGGCGCCAGAGCCTGTGAGCAAAAAGTCTCAAGCCTCCCTGCCCCCTTGGTTTTCAGCAGACCCCTCCCCAACTGGTACACTGGAGCTGGGAGCCCTTTCCATCACCACAGCAACACCTACTAGCTGCTTGTGGCCCCTTCCTAAAATAAACCCATTTTTAGCCTAAGTGTGCTTCAATCTGGGAACCCAGTCACTTATTATACATGGAAAACCACCATCTGTGATATTTAGTTGGGCTACAGATCTTCAGATACTTTTTCAAACAGTTGGGTCAACTCCCCAGACACCACGCAGGGTCCCTACATACCTGGCCTCTCCTCCAGTACCCCCCTTACCTAACTTCTCCATAATCCAACGACTAAGAGGTTGATGCCTGGTGCAGTAAGGGCCCTCCAGGAGATGCTTCCATTTATCTTCTGACTGTTTTGTGGGCGTCTTGTACAAGTTGTCACAGATTTTTAACATAATCCCTCTGTGCAACCCCAGGCAACATGAAAGGGACCAAAGGATGGCCCAGTGGGGGTGCCCTAAAATGGACACTATTTTTCTTTCCAGGATAGCAACGGTGCGGCCGGGAAGCTCAGAAACAGCAAGGAAATGAGGACAGGACTGGTTGTCTCAGGTAGACAGCACAAAAGGGGAGCTGGGTGGCCTGGGCTGGGGGCTGACCCCTTCCAGCGGTGTCAGTTCCCTGCCTGCCCCACCTGCAGCTCCGCGATGCTCATCTTGTGGTAGATCTTCTCCTCGTCCCGCCGCTGGTCCTGGGGCACTGTGATGTTGGCCAATTGTATCTCCAGCTCCAGCACTTGCCGCATCTGCTCCCGCGTGGAGGCTGGTTGTCCACCCAGCAGCATCCCCAGCTCCTCCATGTAGTCCAGGTAGGCAGTAAGCACCTGTCAGGGCCCCGGGTCCTCAGAGCCCAGCAACAAGTCCTGCCCAAGGCCGAGAGGACTGTTCCAGCTGCTGCCCCTGCCCACCGTCTCTTCTGCGGACCTTCCTCTGAGAAGCTCTTCTAGATGACCCTCATCATTTCTGCTATACTGCTTATCACCATCTGCTAGGATCTTTTTTTTTATTTATTTGTGCCCTTGCTCATCATCTGTTTACCCAAGGAAAAGGTAAATTCCACGAGAGCACCATTCCAGGTTCCAGTGGCGTATTTACCACTGTATCCCAAAGGCCTGGAAAAGGACCTAGCACAGAATAGGTTCTGTCCAGGGGGTAGCCCTGCTTCCCATATCCCTCTTCCCTCTGCCCTTCTCATTTCCTGAAGCCCTTCTACTTTTCCCAGCCCATAAGTGACCACGTGCCTTCACTTAACAGCTGAGTGGACCCCATGGAGGAATTTAGTCTACATTTGGCTTTAATTCCCTTCTACCTCCCATCTTGCCAGGCTTCAGACTTGCTGCCTTCCCCTCTGGCCTCCAACAGGGAAGAAAACACAGAGAAAAAATATGTAGTGACTCAATGTATGCACATGTATCAAATTCTCTGCTGGGGCTTTACATATATAACCCACCTCCCCCGCTACCAGAGCCCAGGCAACCCAATAACGTGAGTACTAGGTTCCATTTTACAGACAACACGACTTCTTGACTCATAGCATAAACGAGCAGATGGCAGAGTCCAGATGTGGCCCAGGCTCCATGACTCCAGGGCCACAGCCCCAGCACTGCCTGGGCTCAGGAAAAACTCATGTCCCCTCAGCCCCTGCTGGCACCTGAGCTGCACAGGAACAGGGGCTGTATGCTCTGTTCTGCACTGTGTTCTCAGGCTCTAGCACAGCATCTGGCACATCGTAGGTGGTCAATAAATATTGTTGACTGATGGATGAAATCCTGTACATAGACCCTCAGCCCTGCTCAGCACTGACTTCCTACGGACAACCTGCCCTCCCAGGGACCACTTTCACTTTTGCCCCACCCTGGGCTCCTTTAACTGCCAAAGGCCATCTCTTCTTCCATTCTCTGCACTTCGAAGTATCTCCCTTTTCCCACCTCCCCTCTTCCTTGCTGCTGATGTCAGAAAAAGTCTGAGTACCAATTCCAGTCATCCCAGCTACTAAGGGGGATGGTTGGTTCAACCAGTGATCTTGCCAACCCCTCCCCAACTCACCCCTCTCTCCCTACCTCCTTACTTTCTGCTTAAGACTTACTTTTATTTATTTATTTATTGGCCACACCATGAGGCTTTCAAGGTCTTCTCTGGGCCCCTGGCATTAAAAGCATAGAGTCCTAACCACTGTATCACCAGGGAAGTCCCAAGACTTACTTTTGAGACTTTCCTGAACTCTGCAGATAGGATAAGAAACCTCTGGTGCTGCAGCTTCCCCAAGATGCGGGCACAGACTTCCTACTCAAGACAACTGGTAACACACTAAAAGCTGAGTCAACCATGCGATTCTCTCCAGAATTCTCAAAATTCCTTCCTCCCCTGACTCGGGTGTTATGAAAACCACAAATCTGTTCACACCACTCCCCACTTTTGAGATTCTCTTTCCTTTTCTTTTGGGATCAATGCTAAACTTGACCCATAATGTTTATGTATAACAAGACTCTACCAACCTGTCCAGAAGGACTTGGTCCACTCTCCCCTCCCACTCCCCTCTCTAATCTGTCAACAAGACATACCCTGTCCCCTCTCAGAGCTTTTGCATCAGCCGTTTCCTTTGCCTAGGACTCTCTCTCTCTTCTCCACAGCCTAACTCACCCTAGGACCAGGATGGCTCTCTGTTAAAGGACTCTTGGATTGCCACACTTCTCCTCTACCAGCAACTGTACATAGGACAACTGTGTGCATCCTGTTTCCTGCCTTCTCCTCCACTGAATGGTAGTGTCTTGTTCACCACATGCTAGCGGAGGGTCTGTCTGAGGGATGCTTGGTAAGTGTTTGGGGGATAATGGAAGAAGGACAAAGCCCTTCCTGGTTGCCTTGCTCCATAGAAGTCTCTCTTCCTCCCTCTGCATCTTGAAATACACAAGGATCTCCTTCTTTCTGGTCTCCAGTCTTGCCCTCTCTCTCACTTCTCCTAAGCCTTTGTCTAGGCCTTTAAGGAGAGGCCCCTCAAGCCTTTGGCTCCCTCCAGGCCTGTACTCTCTTCAGGACCCCACTCAACTTTCATACTTGCCTGCTGACCTCTCCAGAGAGATGGTGCCCAGCTCCCTCACATTCACATCACTGAAACAGGCAGCTCCCACTTTGAGTGTATGCCACATGCAGAATCATAAACCTGCATCCTTCTGCTGCCCCCAAGCACACAATGAGGTAGATTCTATGATCCCCATTTTTCAGATGAAGAAACAGCCTCAGAGACCTTCATCAACTTGTACCAAGCTGCCAAGCTGGGATTAAAATCAAGGTCTCATTTCAAAGTCTGTCTTTTTCTGTGACAGTAACACCCAACCCACAATGTGCTTGAAATTGGTTGTCCCTGTAAATACCCCAGATTCTCTAAGGACCACTCCATCTCACCATCATTCTGGCACACAGCCTCAACTATCTTTATCTCTTCCTCCTTCATCTCCTCTCTTCTAACATCCAGGCATTAACAAACAATTCATGATTTGGACTTAATTACGTCTCTTGTAGGGCTTCCCAGGTGGCGCTAGTGGTAAAGAACCTGCGTGTCAATGCAGGAGACTAAGGGTTCGATCCCTTGGTTGGAAAGATCCCCTAGAGAAGGAAATGGCTACCCACTCCAGTATTCTTGCCTGGAGAATCTCATGAACAGAGGAGCCTGGTGGGCTACAGTCTATGGGGTCACAAAGAGTCAGACATGACTGAAGCCACTTAGCACACACACATCTCTTGCATCCTCCCCTTCCTGATCGTCCCTCTGCCACTTCCTCCATTTGGGTCCTCAGAGACTCAGAGCCTGGAGTACTGCAGACACTTTTGAGTAACTGATCTCCAGCCTCCCTCTCTTGCATCTACTTTTCACACCCAGCCAAACTGCCTTCTCAAAGCACTGCTCACTGGGGCAGTCCCAGCCTGCCCCAGAGCATGCAATAGCTCCCTGGGGCCTATACAGTAAACTCAGTGTGGCACTGCAGGTCCCTTCAATAACTAGTTCCTACCCACCTTTCCACCCTCTCATCTGCTTTAAGCTCTACACTTTGCCAAACTGGACCCCTTCCTGTGGTCCAAACACACCTTAGCTTTTCCTTCTTTAACACTTTTGTTTAAACTCAGCATGCCCTCACCCAGCCCCAGATATTCTGCAGGGCCTGGCTCAAATGCAACCTCCTTAGGAAAACTTTTCCAGCTGCTGGATCTCGCCTGAGCCCTAGAGGCCCCTCTTGTGAGCCCTGCTCTCAGCTATCTAGGCCCATGAACCCATCTGCACTGAAAGCATCTTGTGACAGAGGCTTTGAAATGTACATCTCACAATGGGTGCCTATAAGTGTTTTCCTAGAAGAGCAAGAGAAAGGAAGGAAGGAATGAAAGAAGGGAAGAACAAGGGAGGAAGAAAAGGGTAGAAAGGAGGGAGGGAAGAATGCAGGGAAGGGAGAATGAAGAAAGAAAGAAGAAGGAAGGGGGGACTTCCCCAGCAGTCCAGTTGTCAAGACTCTGAACTTCCACTGCACGGGGTGGGGTGGGGGTGTTGGGGGAGTCGGGGTATTGAGGGAAGTGGACACAAGTTCAGTCCCTGGTTGGGGAACTGAGATCTTGCATGCCCACACAGTGGAGCCAAAAATAAATAAAAGAAAAGAAAAAAAAAAAAAAGAAGGAAGCAGGGTTGGCTCAGAGACAGGATAGGTTCACCTTCCCCACTCTGACCCTGAGCAAAGGGAAAAGTAAACAGGGATCAGCCCAGCTCAACAGGGGTGTTGGGTGGATATTCTGAGAATCCTCCTTACTTTCTCATTGGCGGTCCTGTTTAGGTAGTAATCTCGAGAGGGTAGAAAGAGCCCAGACTGGTCCACCTGCAACAGCAAGATAAGCAGTGAGCCCTCCCCCTGAAATCTGGACTCTTGTGCAGGGAGGCCACCCCAGCCAGCCCATCACAGGGGAAGGGAGTGTGGCTTCAGCAAATAGTCCATAAGTCCCTCCCCACCTTTCCCCAGCCCAGTACCTGGATAACATTGCTGTTGGAACTCTTAGAGTCCGCACTGACGTACACAGTGAAGAAGGGGGTGGCCCTATACGTCCCTGCTACTGCCTTCAGCACCTCCATGAAGTTGTCCCGGTCCCAGGGCCCCGTAACATTCCAGCCACCAATCTGAGTGGAGACCATGGTGGCGCCTCTGGCACAGGAGCCCGAAGCTCTCTGGGGCCACGTCCTCTCCCAAGGCCTGTCTTGCCCCCCCGCCCACAGCCTACCCCAGGAGCCTACCTTGTCAATGAGGTCCCGCAGCGGCTGGGCACCCAGCTCCTCGATGCGTTCCACCTGTAAGCAGGAGAGGTAGAAGCGCTGCGTCTTCCGTTCGGCTTCACTGCTGGAGTTGAAGGTGGCATTTTCTGTCAGAGAGAACACAGGTCCGGGTGGCAACCATGCTAACTGCTGAGCAACCATGCTAACTGCTGAAAGGGGTCCGGACCCTTGCTTGATCCCTCTCCTTGCCTTCTCAAGGGGGCACTGCTCCTAGTGTAGACGTGGGAGGACTGTCAACCACAGCAAAGCAGAGCTTCCGCTCCCCTGTCCAGGGAGACTCAAAGATCTCTAAGCCCAACAGATTCCCTGGTGTCTACCACCCCTCAGCGGTGCTCCAGTGCTTAGGGAGGAGTTCCTTCACTGTCCTCAGAGATCCGCTCCCTCAACCCATCTCCACTCTTCAGGAGCCCCCAGTGTCTGCATCCCCTATCCCAGGAGGGCTGGCAGTCATCCCCGTATTCACTCCTGGACATTTATTGAGTACCTACTAAGTGCCGAGCCCTGTGCTGGCACAAGGCACGTACCTGATACAACACTTCCCTGGTGGGCCCACTCACCAAGCAGGTGCTTCAGGATGGCTTGATTCTGGTCCCAGAGACTGTTGAAGGTGTTCCAGCGAGAACGCCCATCAGGCAGAGGATTTCTGCGAATCCAACCTCCACAGGAGAACTGGTAGAAGTCCTCACAGGGGCTCACTCCTCGGTCCAGGGACTCCAGGATTTTTCCAGCCACTCGAATGCAGGCCTCTGTGAGGCAAGTGCTGTGGGATGGGTCTGTGGCAGGGGACATGAGGGGTGGGGTATGGGGAGGGGAGGGTACAGTCAGTTGGTCTGCGAGAGGCAAATGCTTTGCAAGGGGCCATAACAGGGAGGTTGGGAGGACAGAGGACAGCTGGCAGAAGTCTCCCATCAGCCTCCAGAGTCCCCACAGCTAGGAGGGCTCGTGACAGGTGTGGGAGTACCTACCTCTGTGGTACTGGACCCCCAGGGCCACGAAGCAACCCAGAAGCAGGGCAGCCAGCAGTAGAGAGACACCTGCCAAGACCAGCTCCAGCTGCGTGTGCAACCCCAAGAGGCGTCTGGTCCTCTTCCGGAATCCCACCTGGGGAACAGAGGAGGACCTGGAGCTAGCAAGCTTCAGGTGGGCGATTGATCACATAAGTCTCCCGGAGGGTGAAGGCCCAAGCAGTTTCCAGAGCCATGGAGCAAAGACTGCTAACAGGGTTAACTTGGGGCACAGGGGCAACGAGGCAGGCTGAGTTGAGCCCTGAGCCTGTTTTGTGCAACGTCATGGCTTAGAGTCGCCTCACCATAGTCCTAGCGCAGAGGCCAGAGGTGGAGCTGAGGTGGGGGCAGGTGACCCTTCAGGGCAACCCAGAGAGCTCCTGGGTGTGCCGGGCGTCATGCCAGAGCTGGGGGGCCTGGTGAGACAGGGAGGACCCCCTTGCCCACCTCCACGGCGTCCGGGGAGGCCCCGCCCTCTACGGGGGTCTCGGGAGCGTCTTCATCCCGCAGCGTGGCGCGTTTGTATTCCACCATCTGCCAGACAGTCGGGGCGCCGACCCAGGTCAGGCAGAGAGGGCTGCGCGCCCACAGCCCTGCCCCGGCGCCCCTCGCCCGGCCGGGCCCCTCCTGCCTCAAGTGCGGGGCCCCTTCCTTCCAGCCGGCCTGGGTCCCTCCGACCCCCCGCCCGTCAAGTTAGTCCGCGAGCCGGACCCGCTTCCCAACGCCGCGGGCCCCTCCGCTCCTCCCACCCCCGGTCCTCTCCCGGGGAGCCTGGGGCCCGCACTCACGTTGCCGCCGCCGCCCAGCTCCTGCAGCGCGACGCTCATGGTGGAGTCGGGGCCGGCGGCACCTTAGGGCTCCCGGAGGCTGGCCCTCGCCCAGGCCGTGGCCTCGGCCGCGGGCCGGGCCCCGCCGCCGCCGCCCGGCATCGCTGCCGCCCCCGCCTGCCGCCGCCCCCCTCCCCCCGCGGCGCGGCGCTCCGGGTAGGGTGGGGGAGGGGAGGCGCGCGCCGGCCGCGCCCCGCCATCCGCCCCGCGCCCGGTCCTGGCTCCCGGTGCCCGCGGCCCGCCCCACAGAGCTGCATCCAGCCGGAGCCACCCACCCTCCAGAAACTCCGAGTCCCCCTCCCCGCTTTGCGGTCAGCACCCCATCCCAGCAACACCCTCTTGCAAGTCTCCCGTATTTACATTTCTTTGACCCAGACCCAAAACCCTGCCCAATCCCCGAAATTGCAGGCCCTCCCCATCCCCTTCAAACACCTTTGAGAAATTCCGCTCTCAGGGGAACGTCTTCCCCCAGCTGTCCGCACTGCCCCTCTTCAGCCAACACACACAGAGCAGCATGCCCGAGGTGACCCACATTCAGGGTGTCAGCACCATATCTCTACAGGGAGCACATAGACCCAAAGTACACAGGCAGGCACTCAGCCCAACACACGGTCCACAAACACACACACACACATCACTCACAGACTGCATCTTCACACAAAAGGTATACACTCACCAGGCACCCAGAGACATGTGTTCTACCCTGAGGTTCTGGACACACATTCAACACACACACACACACACACACACACACACAGTGCTTGGGCAGCATACACACACTGCCCACATTCTGAGTCCCCCCCTTACACATTGCTTCAAGGCTGCACTTTTACTCTCCAAGATAATTGTTGTCATCAGATCATCTCACAAAGGGAGGGTTACAGATGGTGACAAATCGGCAGGGAAAAAAACAGCCATGCACAGATATTTAAAGAAAAGACGAGCTAACACTTCTAACTTGAGAAAAGCAAGCCACTTTATTTGGGAGGTTTACAAGGGAAAAAAAAAAAACACCAAGCAATATTTAACTGAAAGGCAATAGTGTGGCGTCTATGCATCTGCCATCTGCCTTCCATATTGTCATTCCTTAATCAGGCCTGGTGGTGTTGCAGTCTGCTTCACTGAAGAGTGTCTGGTTGTTTTTAAAAAAAAAACACACAAATTTTTAAAAAGTGCCTCATCCTCATGCCACCTCTCACTATTTGACCTGAGAAGGCTTGGAATGGCAGCAAATCCACACCCGTGTCTTGACTTTAACCTCAGTCCTCAAACATCTTGCTGTGAGCATCTCTAACATGGAATGCTCTTGTGGTTTAGGAAGGGTAGATGATGTATGACTGAGAAACTTCTGGATTTCTTTCTTTTGGCATTTTTCACCCCAAAACTGCATGTTCTCAAATAATAGTATCATAGGATGAAAGATCCTGGATCCAGGCTCAATTTCCTCTCTGGTAAAATGGAAAAAAGAATAGTACCTATTTCGAAGGATGGTGGTGAGAATTAAATGAAACAATACTTGTAAAATTTTTAGGACAATTTCTGGCACATAAAAGGTACTCTCACTACTATTATTATTGTTGGTGTAGTTATTATTAAAATTCTATACGTGGAAATGAGAATTGTATGGCTGGAGGAAGCCTGTTCTGTTTCCCAGATGGAACATGGGTTCTAGGTTAATCAAGGGTTCCCTGAGCAAGGAACTTTCTCATCCAGCCACACTGTGGTCTGCAGCAGCACAACCTTCTCCTGTCCACATGGGACAAGTCTCTGGAGATCATGTCAATGAAATGACAATGTGGCATCACATTGCTGACCTCTTTCCCACTTTCCCCAAGTCTGGATGGAGGGAAACATGGCCACAGGGTCAGTCCTGTCATATGGAAAATCACACCATGACATGGCTATGTGAGTACAAGCAAACTTTTTTATAAGGATGTTCCAGCAACAGACTCGTAGAAATAGTCCCATGGCTGTTGTAATACCATGCTGTAAGTAGCAAGCTTATATAGCACTGTACCATGACCAGCCACTGTTCCAGGTATTTTACATCAACACACTCATTTATCCTCATGGCACTTATGAAGCCATTTTGCAGGTGAGGAAACCGAGGCATAAAGAGGATGAGATACAGAGCTAGTGAGTAGTAGAGCTGGAATTTAAATTCAAACCCAGGCAATCTGACTCGTCTCTGGAAAGCAATTTGGCGATATGAATCAAAAGGAGTACATACTTCCAACATTAGTTGCTAGTCTTCTGCCACATTTTCTCTGGAAGAATAAGGGGAAGCACATAGTTTTCAAGTCAAACAGATCTGGATTCAAATCTGGGCTCCATTCCTTATCAGGTATGTAATCTTTATTTGAAAGCTCTGAACTTTCATTCTTCTTCATCAAGGTGGGATCATTTCTACTCAGTGCATTGCTGTGAGAATTAAATGCAACCACATAAGAAAGAGGCTGGTACCTCTATAGAGAGTATTTCCAGTTTCACTAGGTTTGGCCTAAATGGATATTTCCTTTCCATGCCTCTTTCATAACCCAGATAGTTTATCAGGTTCACAACTATTCCTAACTACATATTAAGTATCCTATGTATGATAGGCTTAGAGATTCCTCTATTTTATATAACTCTATTTTATTTCCTCTGTGTTTATCTTTGACTCTTTTATTCTCTCATTCTATTATTTTTCTATTTTCTGCTCTTATTTTCCTATAAGTTTAATTTTATGAGGTCAGTTTTTCTCTAAATTGATTGTGAATTGAGAGAGAATGGAAAATGTTTTATGTGTTAACTTATAAGAACCGTATAGTCATGAAGATAACAACATACATTAGTATCCAATGTTAACAAAGATGGGGAAAGTGAGCATTTTCATATATTGCTGATGGCTTATAAACTGACAGTCTTTTTGGCAATATGAATCAACAGGTACGTGTACATAATTTTTGACTTAGAAAGTCGAATTCTAGGAAATTGTCCTAGGAAATAAGCATGTTATCTACAGCATGATTATCTACAGCACGTTTGTATCAGTTAGCTTTGAATGAATAACAGACTGTCCAGACTTGATGGATTAAAATAGCAAATATTTATTACTTTTCATGTTCAGTAGGTTGATTGGGTGGTTCTTCAGATCTGGGTCAGCTCACCAGGAGCTGAATGGTCTAGCTGAATGATTTCATTTACATGTTTGGGCCTCAGCTGAGATGACTGGGCCCAGTCTCTGTGTGGTCTCTCCGTCACCAGGAGGCTAGCCCAGGATTTTTCATATGGTGGTATCAGGATTCCTAGCAACCAAAAACGGGCAAGCCCCAGTACATAAACACTTTTCAAGCCTCTACGGGCATCAAATTTGCTAAGGTCCCTACCGAGAAAAGCAAGTCAGATGATCGAGCCCAGATTTAGGGATGGAGAAAGAGTCTACTTCTTGATTGGAAGAGCTACAAAGTATTTGGGCCATTTTGCTCCTATACCATATGTTCATCTCAGCACCATCTATATTAACACACAAAAAAAATGGGAGGGGATTCAATGTCCAAGGGTAGAGGTCTTGATAAATAAATCAAACATCCATACAGACATCCAAACATTCCATCATTTACAAATGATGGAAAAGAGTTAATATTATCAGGAAATGGTCTCCAAATAGAGTTAAGTGGGAGAGAAAAATAAATCTAAAATCTCATTTTTGTTAAGCAAAAAAGTATAAAAGCATAGGTTAAGAAAAAGATTGAAAGGACATGCAACAAAATGTTAATCAATATATCTAATGATGAGGTTACTTTTAACTTCTTTATGCTTTCCTGCATAAGACCTAACAATTCTATTATCTAGCACTACCAAAGCACTTTTTGAATGTTAACTTATTCAATACTCATGATGACTCAGTAAGATAGAGTCTACCAATATCATTGTCCAGATATGAGACACTTAATAACATACCTAAAAAGTCACACATCAAGGAGAAGGAAGATTCTTCTTTGAATCTAAACTCCATGCTCTTAACCACTAATCTCTTTTTAAGTCAACTGATTTGTCTCAGGTCAGAGTGTGATGTTTGATAAATGGACTATATGACTGGTTTCAAAAATTTTTTTTAAATCAATAAAACCCTTTTATTGTAAATGTAATATACTCCAGAAGTATATAAATAAAAGATGAACTTCATTCTGCCAGGATCCCTGTACCATTCTCAGAGATAACCATTATTAGCAGTTTGGTATGTATTTCTTTCTTTTACATGTATTTACATATCTAAATACACTGTGTGTGTGTGTGTGTGTGCATACATATGTGTGTATACTTTTTTCACACTTGTGAAATCACACTCTACACTTGTTATTTGGTGATATTTTGACAGGTCTTGGAGATCTAACCATGTCAATCCACACAGATCTGCTTCATTCTTTTTTGTGATTTATCAGCCTCTGCTAAAAAGAAGAATCCCAGAAATACCTTCGTGGTATAGGCTTTCTTTGAGGGACAGAGTAAGAGCAAAGGGTCCCCAGAGAGCTTAAGGAAGGAGAGACATGATGAGAGATGTAAAAGGATGACCCCAAAATACTTGTAACATTGTATCTGTTTTATAGGACTGCTGTAACAAACTACCACAAACTGGGTGGCTTAAAATAGAAACTTGTAACTTACAAACTTATAATTATCTGGCAGTCCAATGGTTAGGACACTGTGCTTCCACTTTAGAAGGTA